GCAGGGTATCTCAGCGGCATGCCAGGACCGTGGACAGCGCCCACCAGGCCACCCTGGGAGCCAGTCTACGTCGCCTAGCGCAAGAGAACCCCCCGCTCTGTCCTGTAGACACATGGAGAAGGAAGAAGTCTGTGTCCTCACTGCATATTCACCTGGATACACCTGAGGAAGCCTCTCCGCCAGGTGGGTCCGCATCTCCTGAAAGGTAGCATTATCAAACAGCACTCCCCACCTAGAGTGGGATTTAAACCCACAGGAGCCCAGGTGTCTTGTAATTAAAGGGATGGTGCAAGCAGCAGGAATTTGGGGTGTGCACCAATGAATTCTGTCTGCAGCTGAAATAGGTGGCAAATTATTGGTGCACAGAATCCAGCAGAAATTCTAATTAAACCAGCAGTTAGAAATGATGGACTATAGCGAGAGGCAACTTATCTTCCAGTGAGCCCTGAGTCGGCTCTGGGAGGCAGGGTGGCAGCTGGGTGGGATCAGCACAGCTTGCGAGGTGACCCCAGGCTGGGGAGCAGGGACCTGATCTGCTCTGGCCCTATGCTTGCCCGAGGGGCCACAGAGCAAACAGGCCTGCATCTCACCTCCCAGGCTGGGGACTCGGGCTGCCCAGGACTCGCTTGACCCAGAACCATTCCCTAAGGAATGTACCTGGTTCTGAACGTGAGAATAATGCCATCCAGCAATCCAGCTTGCGCCTGAGCTTCTGTTCTCACGAGTTGCCTGTATGCTATGAATATCTAATTATGTTTTTTCATACCTGGACTTATTCATAGATGCACGATGTTTATATTTTTAAATGACTCATGCTGGGGTGGGGAGCGGGATTATCGAGGGGCTCCATGTCCACAAAATGGCTTCCTGGGGGGCAGGGGTGTCTGGGAAGAATGCCTTGTATCCTTGGGAGTGGGGGCAACATTAATGCTTCCGGCGCAACTATCCACCCTCACGTTCGGGAACTTCCCGCCCAGATCACGGGTGGTTTGGAGGTGCCGGGCAGGCCACGGCAGTGTGGGCCTGTTCCTCCGTCAGGGTGATTTATTTTTCAGAGAGAGAAGAGATGGAGAGAAGCACAAGCCAAGTTTCCCAAAACTGCCAAGGACGCAAAGCAGCAGAGCCCTGAAGGCGAGGAGGGTGGGCTCTGCAGGGGGGGAGCCGAGGACACAAGCAGCGTCCCTCTGAGCGGCTGACGCGTTCCTTCGCAGCTGCTGTAGATGCCCCTGCAGCTCCGTTCGCAGCTCCTTCCCAGGACCTCACCAGGAACGGCTGTGCCAGGTCCCTGCCTCCCACTCTCCAGCAGAGAAACTTGACACACTAGAGTTCCCACCTGACTGCAGATGCAAAAACCCTCCCGCAACCCCCAGCCTGCTCTCCGAGTCTTCCGCTTGCTGCTCCAGCACCAACCCCAGACCTGGGCAAACTGAGGAAATGAGGTGGGGGCGGGGGCGGTGAGAAGTCGGGGAGAGAAACACAGAGGTGACAACAAAGCCCCCAGACACAGCCCGGAACCTTCTTCCAGATGGATTCCAACCCACCTGGAACCACGGACTTCATTCCCCAAATCTTTCGAGTGGAGGTCTCTTCATTCTGTACCAACTTCCCACTGCTGGGGGCTCACTGTCTCCTTTCTCCGGGCTCAGACCCACAAGCTTAGACAACCTCGTGTGGGTAAATGCCTGGGGCCGGCAAACGGGTATAAAGGATGGAGACACGGCACATCATCGTCAAGAGCCCAAAGTTTGGAACCTGACAGACCGGAGTTCAAACTCTCAGGCTGCCACTCGCCTCTTGGGTGACCTTGACCAAGTTATTTAACCTCACTGAACCTCAAGTCCCACATCTTCAAAACTGCCGAGTGCAGTATCTGTCTCCTGGGATGGAGTGAAGATTAAACAAGATGGTGTAGGAATAAAGCACTTAGCACAGCGTGGAAGCCTCCGTGAAAACCTGGATATTAGCGCTGGGTGCCAAGCGTGGCGTGAGCTGTTAGACCCCAGAACTGCACCGCCCCTCCTCAGAGCTCACGAAGCAGGCATTTCCCCACAGTTCTCCGTCCCAAGTGCGGGAGAGTGCGCTAATGCGGCTCTGCCCGTGGGACTGTTCTTTTGTCCTTGGAATGTGGAGGACACCGGCTGAGGGAGGCCCATGTGAGACTTGCAGGGGCTGCGTGACCATTTTCTCTTTCCTACCCCAGTGCTCCAGATGTGTGGCGGTGAAGACTTCTTGCAGCCCAGCCTGGGAGTGAGTGATAACTCAGACCTGGTTGTAGGGGGGGAAAAAAGGCCCAAATTCATCTTCCCTTTAAAGTATTTTGCTGCTTATCTTAACAGCTTTAAAGGGATTAGTGATGAATTGTGCTCCTGCAGCTCAGCCAGACAGGAAAGGGGCCTGAGAGAAGGGAAGGTGCCCAGGGAGAGAAGCCTGCTTCTCAGAATCCTCTCATCTCTGTCTCTAGCACCCTTGGAGTTTGCCACATCGCCCAGGAAGGGCATTGATTTCCAGGGTGCACAGCCCCCCCACATGTGTGCAAACACATACACGTGTTTCCAGGAGCAAAGTGGAGTGCCCTGGGTCAGCAGGGCCTTCCTTGCTGCCCCGGGGATCCCCTTATGTCCTCCACTCTTGAGGAAACACATTCAGCACCCAGTCTAGACACACTCCAGAGGAGGAAGCCAGGGGCCCGGGACGCTTCCTTCCCTCTCGGGAAAGGCCAGCCTCACCTCTCCTAGACAGCGGTCTTGCAGCTTCCCACTCCACTACAGATGGGACAGGTGGGGAGCAGGATGGCAAGACCAGATCAAAGGGCCAGACCACAGCCATGAACAACGCTCAGGAGTCGAGGTCTCTGTGGCAGCCACTGCAGCCGGCCCAGGGCGCCTGCAGACCCAGCTCAGCCTTGCCGCCCCTCCCCCACAGCTGGGCCCTTCCTCAGGCTTCCCCGTTCAGGGTCTCCTGGGGAGAAATAAGGGTCAGAAGTAAGTCAGTTTGCAGCTGAGCAACGGGGTCCTTCTCAACCAGGGGTGAAGCCTGTCACTTCCTTTTGTCTCCACCCCCTCTCCCACCAAGGAGCAAAGGCAGGAGAGAAAGAATGCTTCTGGTTAAGGTCCAAGAAGAAAGAGGTGGGGAAATCACATTGAACGACGACGGGGCATCTGCTACCTGTCTGGCGCATCTGCTACCTGACCGCTCTGGGCTCAAAATGAGCCTGCGGCAAAGGCACCTCAGGCATCCCTGGTTTTCCACCCAGGAAGCCCAGGCTCCGGAGGTAAAGAGACTCACCCAAGGTCACCCTCCTGGCACGTGGCGGAGCACCGGGCCGTCTGAGCACAACCACAAGCCTTCTCCTCACCCCTACCCTGGCCCTGCTTGCCCTTCCCAGGGCTCAGCATCCAAGGACCCTTGCCCAGGATCCAGGAAGCCTGAGCTCCGCTTAGCTCCCCCTGAGGACTTGCCCACCCCCGATGCCAGCGTCAGGGGCCCCCAACGCCGGCTATACCCACTCACTGGTCCTGGTACCGAACTCCATTCAGCTCACAAGCAGCGGAGGCAATTCCAAGTGTGACTCAGGCCAAGCCGGCTCACTCCAAGCAGCACGACTTGCCTCCTGCACTGAGTCACCTCCAGGCTAGGGATTCACGGACGCTCACCACCTACTTAGCCACAGCTGCTCCATTTGAGAAAGAGCCAGCAGAGGAGCCGGAGCCTCTGATGGTCCCCACGGATGGGCCACAGCCAAGGACGACCAGCGTGACCTCGAAGCCCTTCCTGTCCAGTGCTGGGTCCACCTCACCGGACCTCTGATAATATAAGCTCGGCCTGAGACACAGGAAGCCCCCCGAGGCTAACCTGCACACACTCTGACCATGTCCTCCAGACGCACGGGTGTCCATCTGTGTGCCCTGCACAGCCTAACGGGGCCTAACTAAAGTTTGGATTGATTTTTTGGGGGGCCATTACAGGATCTTCTTAGTTTCTAGAAGTTCCTGTTAAGAAGGGCCAGTGCCCTCAAAAGATCTCCCCAACCCCACCTGCCTCGTGTTCACAGCTGAATTGCCCCAAATATAGCTCCAGTTAGAAATGTCCTAATCCAAAGAATTCATTATAATATTTGCCGAAGGAAAGAGGAGTGGGATCAATTTTTTTTAATACCTCTTGGCAGAGACTGGGTCCTCTAAGTCGAGTGACCTCGGGTTTCTGACACTTGGAGCCCGGAGAGGCTGTTTGGGCTTTAAAAGGAGACACCAGGTTTCCTTCCGGCAGCAGCGCCCCTGGAGTACTGCGAGCATCGCTAGAGAGCCGAGCCCGTGCGCACAGGTATAAACGTGGCAGAGGCCTCTCTCCCGAGACGGCGCCCCCTCCAGACGGGTACCCCGCGCACGTTCCCCATCTCCGCCATTCCGCTCCCAGATGCGCTGCCCTTGAGGGAGGAGAGGCTTCCCGCTGGCTCCGAATTCAGCGAAGACCAGCCCCAGAACTGGGGATTAAATATTCATCTCGGTCATGAAAGCTCTGCTTCTCCTGCCAATGATACTGTCAAGGTCACGGGCCTGAAGCCTAGCGGCTCCGTGGGGGTCTCCAGCCGCGCAGATGCCTCCCCGCGGGAACTGCGCGCTGGACGCGCAGCTCCAGGTGGGGAGACCCGCTGGGCCTCCTCCCGGCTAACCCCGGGCGCTTGTCTCTGCAAGTCTGCCCCATTTCCTCCGGAGTTCTCGGGCCCATTAGGGCCCCGGAAGGTGGCGTCAGGTGTCCAACTCTTGAGTACGGCGCTAGGCACCCCCGAAACGCCGGAGGAGCGCGGCCCCGGAGCTCCGTCGCCAGGCAACGGAGGCAGGAAAGGCGGGAGGAGCCCGGGCCCGCGCAGAGCCCGGCGGATACTAGAGCAGTACCGCCTCGCACCCGGGTTCTTAGGCCTTCCTTGCTGGGGCGGGGCCGGAGCAGCTAAAGTTGCGGTGTCTGACCTGGCAAAGCCAGGCAGGGCGCGGCCCGCGACTCACCTGTCCCGTGTGGACCGTTGCGCGGACTGGACCCCTGCACTCCTGTGGACCACCTGCGGCCCCCGACGGGTGGCTCACGGCCCCTCCCACAGTCAGCTGGAGTCCGGCTGCGACGGGCAGGGGCTGGGAGGGGACCCGGAGGCGCGTCTGCGACTCTTCTCGCTTCTCGCTCCCTCCCTCACCGCTGGTCCCGGCTCAGCTCCCGCCCCAGGCTCGCTCAGTGCTCCAGGGAGCGGTCCGGGAACCCAGGTGCAGCGGTAGAGGGAGCGCGCGGGGTTGCACAAGCCGGAGCCTAGTACCACCCTCCCTTCGTCCTGGTCACGCCGGGCTCTGCGGAGCGGAACGAAGCTGGGCGGAGCGCAGCGCGCGCTGTTCCCTCGCTTTCCGAAAGGCCACCCTGGCGGCGGGGCGCCGTGACGCAGGCTTGACTCACGCGCGGGCCCGCGTCAATGCGAGGCTTTGGGGCTGCAAGCGAGGCTCTGATGGCCGACGCAGGTGGAGGGGAGGGGAGTGGGCAGGAGGAGAGACAGGGGCTGCCCAGGGCACGAGCCTCTTGAGGCCCCTCGCCAAGGAGCCCAGACCCTGGAGAGGAGTCACCTGGGCTTCGGCCCTCAGAGAGGAACCGGACCCCAATGGCCAAGGTCCCCCTGAGTCTTAGGCCTCATTTCTTCACCTTTTCAGACCCAGCCCTCTCTGCCCTCCCTCGTGATCTCTGTCGCACCCAAAGCGCTTGTTCCCCTGCCCTGGCAACTTGCACCTTAATGCCTTTTCCCCTCTCTCTTGGAATGAATGCCTTGTCTGCTCCAGGGCCCTTCCATCCCACCGCCAGCAGGACCACTTGCTCTGCCATTCAGCCCCTCAGCGTGTCCCTCATCTCCTGGGCTCCTACTGAAGGCACGCCCTGAAGGGGTTGAGATCACGGAGATGGTGGTGGGAAACCTCTGGGAGAGACAGAGTGGGGTTTGCCTGAGTGACTGTGCGCAGTCATTCCCCCTGCACACAGCCACAAGACACAGCAGGAGGACAGAAGACTCTAGAAGATGAGGAAAGTGGGGAACAGTGAGGGGAGACTGGGCTCTAGGAAGACCCTATGGAGGAGGTGAGACAGAGTCCTGGTCTCAAAAGGTGGAAGGAGAAAAGGGTGACCCTTGCAGAGGGCACAGCCCAGCAAGAGCAAAGCTACAAGAAAGTGGCTGTGTGCAGGGAGAGTGACTGCCTGCGCTGGAGCAGGGGTGAAGGCAGGGAGGTAGGCGCCATGCTCCACGGCCGTGGAGGGTCATGTGGGGAGTCTGGGATGAATTACCTCTGCTCTAGAGGACACTAAGGGGACCTTGGCATGAGAGACAGGTGTCTGGGAAGGATGGGAGGTGTGGGGTGTCTCAGTGGCCCTACTGAAAGGCAGTAGGTAGGACCATCATCATGAACTGAGGGCTCAGAGACTTGCTTTTTGACAAGGTGGCCTGCCACGGTTTCCTAGGTGCTGGCAGAAGACACAAGACTCCTGGGCCAGAGACAAAGGACCTGACTACTCGAGGCACAGCAAGCAGCTTGCGCTTCCCCGTCCAATCAGTCTACCTTAATGCCAGGTGGAAGAGGCTGGGACTGTGCCCAGGTGGCAGTGCACCTGCAGGGGAACTCTGAGCTTAGGAAGCCCCAACCTCCTACACCGGGCTTTGAGCAAACCTGCCCAGCCTTTGCCCCGAGGTTGTTACACGTATTATCAGTATTACACACCTGTCCTCCACTGGGGTGACCCTGTCTCCAGCTTCCAGAGCTGTCTGCTGTGCAAACACCCTAAAAAGATAGTTCTGGAACGATAAGCCATCCATGCCTCTTCTCTCAGAAGCACAAGGAGGAAGCTGTGCAGTTTTGCCCCCCCCTTAACAGGCGCCCCCTCACCCCTAGCCTCATTCCACATCACGCTCCCTGCAGCCCACTACCAGCACTGGCCTCCTGGAAGCTCTCCGATCGCCCACCCCGTCCTGACTCAGCCTTCCGCCTCCTCGCCTCGGACCCTAACTCTTCAGCCTCTTCTGATCGCGGATCAGAATTTGGTCAGCCTCCTGAGGGGGCATTTCTTCTCCTTAGTAGCCTTTGTCCCAATTGTAGTTCAGTACCTAACGGTGTGACAGCCCCCCAGCTGATGTGTACATTCCACAGACACCACACCCAGCTTCAACACAGAACGGCCTCTCCATAAAGACTTGCTGAAACACACGAGGGGGGGTTGCCTGAGGGATTGAGGGGGGTGTTGGGGGAAGGGGAGCAAAGGGGAAAAAATGGGACAACTATAATAGCATAAACAATAACATACAATTTTTAAAAAGAGACAAAGATTTTCTGAAAGAATAACAGAGTGGTTAGATACGTGGCTGAGTCCAGGAGCATGGACTGGAGACAGACTTGGGGTCACAAGCATAAATGGGGTCCTGACCCAGAGAGAGAGCCCTCCCCCCTGGGAAGCGTGGAGAAGGCAGGAGGACAGAAGGGGGGCAGGGGCCAGGCAGAAGGGTCAGGACGCAGGACAGAGAGGAAGAGTCCAGGGGCGGGAAGAACCAGACACGGTCAAAGAGGAACAGGCTGTCCACAGTGTCCAGACCTGCGGACGGTGACAGAGGCTCAGAAGTTGTCCTGGCCAAAGGCGCCCATGGGTGACAGGCAGGGCCCCGTATTGAAGACCCTGGGATGGAAACAGGAAGTAAGGCTTCCATCGTGAAGTCTTCCAGAACCTTCCAGCTCTCAGTGGCCCATCTAGAACACTGATTCCACCATCTATCAGCCTATAGAAATATATTTAACTTATATTAATATCAACAGTACAAGGTAAGTACTATTAGTCTCCCCACCTTGCTAATGGGGAGACTAAGGCTTAGTGGCTAAATAATCTCTCCAAGTTGGAGAGGTCTGTCCTGGTCCCAAGTCCTTGCTGTAAATTTTGGCATTTAGGGCTGTATAAGGCAAGGCTGTATAAGTCCTTGCTGTATAATTTAGGAGGTCCCTCTCCATATGTCTACGCCCCGCCTACCATGTCCAAGTGCGACGCTTGGACAGGGCGGGACCCTCTTCACTCATGCCCCACGCCTCGCGTGCCCAGCACAGTGACCTGCACCCAGCAGGTGCTCAGCCTGAGCTCACAGGCTGATCAGCCCCTCACACTCCGCAGGTCAGACCCTGGTCACCTAAGTTGAGTCTGGGTTTCTCAGTGTCTTAAAGGCACAGATGGTAAAGAAGCTATGAGCTTGCCTTTGTTCTACATGGCACAATTATCCATTTTTCCAGCATCTTCCCCCCAATTCTTTGACCACACTCTCTCCAAGAAGGGAAGCCTGTGTCTCCCCCGTTTGAAGCTGGGCTCTGTGACCCCGTGAATGAGAGAAGTACCGCCGTGTCTACTGTGTCCAGACCCAGGCCATGAGCTCATGGTGGCTTCCATTCATTCTCTCTCAGGATGTTTGCTCTTAGAACTTAACTCCCATTCTGTGAGGAAGCCCACGCTGCCCACAGAGAGACCCCAGCCCTGACGTGCTCCTGACCCGCACCTGGCCCCACCACACCAGCCATGCGAAGGGGTCATCTTGGAAGTGGATCCTCCAGCCCGGTCAGGCCTCCCCAGCCAGTGCAGCAAGGAACAGAGACAAACAGAGACCCTCCCAAATGCCTGACCCACAGAAACCATGAGAGACAGAGAGAAAAATAATTATTGTTTTAAGCCACTAAGCTTTAGGGTATTTTGTAACACAGCAATAAGTAACTAGAACAGCCCTGTAATTGCTGAATAATTATGGAAGTAGCAAGCAGGTCTGGCCCACGTGGGGCTCTCACACCTTTGAGAACCCTCCCACCCCTGACTTGGAGTAGTAAAGGGGCCTCTGCCCACAGGAGGTGGTCGCGGAGAACCCCATCCTCCCGACGAATTGTGTTCAATCAGCAAAGAGCATGAGCCAACCTCGCCCATTTAGGGCGCAAAGCCCAAAGCACAGCTGGCAAGCCCCCACCCAGGCGTATCTACAGAAGACATGCTAGGTTTACTGCGGTTCCTCCAGACGTTACCCTTCCCTGGGCCTCCAAGGATCGAGCCAGTCCCTGTGCGCAGTGGGATTTTACCTGCAGGAAGGCGCAGGTGCCAGGGCGACTCCCTGGGGGGAGCGGAAACTGGAAGTGAGACTTGAGCACCTTGGCGGCCCAGTCTCAGGGCTGGCGCAGGTCCCTGGCACTTGACTCCTTACTCCCCTTTCCTGCCCTGGGGCCACCATCCCTAAAAGGTGGTTTGCTGTCCCATTGAGCCCCCCTTGGCTACATGGTGCCTCACCAGTCTGCTGGAGTCACAGGCTGTAGTCTCAGTCCTGTGTCAGGAAATGAGTCAGGATGTGAAGTCTCGGCCCTGCGAGGCAGGGGGACAGAGCAGCACGGTCCCTGCCACTGCAGGGTGGTAAGTAGCACCGTGCACGTGTGGTTCAAAGCTTGGTCCCTGTGGTTGTGGTTCATGGCCTCGCCCCTCGGTACCAGCCTGGGACCCCTCAGGGCTGGAGTGTCCTCACCTGTGAAATAGGAGTAGCAACAGTGCCCCCTTCACAGGTGTTGACTATTAAATGAGACTTTCCCAAGTAACACCTTGATAACAGCCAGCCTGGCACAGAGTGAGGACCTCATGCATGTACACTCCTGCTGCCGTGACGATGATGATGGTGGTGATGGTGACATAGTGAGCAGTTGAGCCAGGAGCTTGAAGGGGCTGCTCCAGGCTGGGGCTCTTTGTCCTGGGTCCTCTATAGAAGGAACAGAACTTGGACCCACAGAGGAAGCTTTGCCTTGCAAGCCGGGCTGTCCAGAGGGTCACCTGTCCAGACTTGAGCCATGTGGTGAGGAGGGAACAGTGAGAACTGAACAGGAAAGGGACTTCCCTGGGTGGACGCAGGACACTGCAGGCAGCTGGTCCTCCTCCTCTGCTGCCCACCTTGGGACAGGTGGCCCTTCCAGCTGCTCAGAGCCCACCCGCTGCGGCCGACATGCAGTGGGTGGGCTTTCAGATCCAACTGGATCACACTTGGGGAAAGTCCTCGGGGTCAGTGCTTAGGTTAAGTCAGCTCACGGTGCATCCAGGGCAGGGTTATAAAGAGGAGGACAGCTTGCAAGGTGTAAAGGAGCTAAACTGCCTTCCTCTGTAGAGACCAGAGCCTAACGAAAGCCCTGAAGCAGCCCCCCAAGGTGAGAAGACAACCATGACCTTCATCGAACTGAAAAGGGGACCTTGTTAGCACCTACCGGGTGGTATATCCCGTCCATTTTTGCTCTAAGTGTTATGTTGCTTGGAAGAGGGAA